TGTTAATGCAAAACTATGGTAGTTCCTTTGCATGTGGGTCCCCTGACTGGGTTGCTGTCTTGAAATTCCTCTGTATCTCAGAGATCTCATCTGTACTAGTAGTTTCTTCAAGAAAACCAAAAGGTTAAAGTCATTTGCAATGCTGAGTAAAGAATCCTTCTTGAATTTTACAATTTCCCAAATCTTCCTTCTTCCCGTTTCAAAAATAATTATTTAGATTTCAGCTTTATCAAATCCTTAAAAAAACAATATAACTGCCACTCATTTTTAAATTTAATGTTTCTGTGCTGTCTATAATATTAATAATTATAATAAACACAAAAGTCCCAAAATGAAGTCAGATGTGGTGGCATATGCCTTTAATTCCCACATTCTGGAGGCTAAGGCAGGTGGATCAACATTCAAGGGGAGCCTGGGCTCCAGACGGGGCCTTTTCTCAAACAAACAAACAAACAAACATGAATAAATCACCAGTGAGTTCTGGGATAAACTCAATGTCCTTTTGATGATCAGGTGCTCAGTTGGTAGGAACAAATGCAAAAAACCTTGATTCTGTATGGAGAAAGATGCCATAGGCTTGCTTACCTATTTATAGTTAATGTTATCCTGCATTGTACCCATCTTTTGTATAGATTAAACTCATATCAGTGACTTATTTATTCTTTGGTAATCCCACTTAGCCACGTGTACTTAGTGCTTAACATGTTACATCACACATATGATGTTATTTGGATTTCTCCATTTCTCCACACACGGATTCTCCATTTCCCTGAACTTGTTCAAATCGAAACACTTTTGTAATTTAATTTTTTTTTTTCAAGACAGGGTTTCTCTGTGTAGTTTTGGTACCTGTTCTGGATCTCGCTCTGTAGACCAGGCTGGCCTCGAACTCACAGAGATCCACCTGGCTCTGCCTCCCGAGTGCTGGGATTAAAGGCATGCGCCACCACTACCCGGCCTTGTAATTTAATTTAAGTTCCTCTTGGTTCTCATGGATTTCCCTCAAGAGTTTATATTGAACTGTTTAGATACAGTTCTTGGGGCCTCGGGAGATGGCGCAGCCATTGAGAGAGCTTACTGTTTAGTTTCCAGCACACACGTCAGTCAGGCAGCTCACAATCACCTGTAACCCTGACTCCAGGAGATCTGATGCCCTCTCCTATCCTCCCTGATACTTACCTATAGGTGGAACACACAAACACACGCACAAATAAAATAAAATAAAATTTCAAGTACAATTCTTAAAATATACTTTGTTTTTGCACTGAGTTCTTGCTGGTTCTTTGAGGTTCTGTCCTGCACTGTTCCCCCAATTACATTATTAGCTCCCCGAGGTGGACTGTCTTTATACTCCCCTAGAAGCCTCCCAGAATATAAGTCCTGTGATGGACCCTGCCAAGGCAGCCACCTGCAGAATTTCATGATGTCAAGAAAATGATTGGTCACTAAGATTTTGATTGGCAATGGGAAAGGTGATGAAAATATTCCAAGGAAAGAAGTAAGAGGAAAATATGGTTCTGCATCTTGAGGCTAATTATACTCTTTCCGTGTTTACAAAAGTAGAATGGTAGATCTGGCTCATAAGCTTTGGGGATCATCATTATCTTTGAGAATATGATTGAAGCTTATTCAAGTTTACTTAGAAAAGTAAAATAAGGGCTCAAATATGAAATCTTGCTTATAATTTCTGAGAATCCTCAAACACTTATCAGAATAGATCCTCACATTGCTGGTGGTAAGCAATTCTTCCCACTAAAGTGAACCACTGTGTGAGTATGTCCTGATTGCTTGAACAGGCTCCTTGAGTAGCCATTGCTGACTCTTGTGTGCCCTACCCACACATCCTTGCCCCATCACTCCAAATGTAAGCCATGGATCTCCTGGCTTCGCCCCTCTGGACCTTGCCCCATGCCACTTCTCAGAAAGCGCTGGAAGTGCGAGCTGAGCCCTGCTGATGGCTGGCCCTCTGCCCCAGAATGGCAGCACAACTTCTCAGTCAGCTTCTCCTACTCGGGCCTTTTCGTTGTCGGGGAAAGTGCCAGGATGGTGTTGCTGTGGTGACTTGACTGCCAACCTTGTAGTTAGGATGAAATTCCCTCCAGGGGAAGAAGATGAAGCTATTGTTGGGGATGGTTGAAGACAATACCCCTGCCAGGCTATCTCTCACAACCTCACCTTTGTACTTTGTGCCTCAAGAGACTCTGGAAACAATGAAGTGGAAAGCCCAGTACAAAGCCAGAGGCGAAGTGTTAAAAGTTTTGAGCTGTTATTCAGTCTCCACCGGCTATACATTATCAAATGAAATGTTAATGATTTCCATCATTTTTGTTGGGAATAGGTTTTTTTTTTGTACATGGAATGAGCAACGGATATAAAATTCTTCCTCCCTCCCCTCCCCTCCCCCTGTAACTTTTGCATGAAGATGAAGATGGCTGCAGATATTTGCAAGTAGCTCTGGGTAAACAACAGCACCCCCAGAGAAGAGATTAGAGTTCTTTCGGCTGGAAATAGCACAAGGGAAGCTTAGCAAACGATAGGAGAGTTTTATCTAAAGCCCACATCTCTCCTGACTCCACTTTTTGGTGTCTCCAGTGGCTTTCCTCTGTGAAGGGATTCTGTGCTAATGTGAATTTGCAAATGTGTTTCCTTCACCCATTCAGCTTTTCTCTTTGATGATAAAATCTTCTTAGAGAGAAGAATTCCACCTTTAGGACAAGACAAGGAAGAACTGAACCCTGCTTCCTCTATCTAGTAGGCGCCCTGTGATGTTTTTTTCTCTGTCCCCAGACCAGACACTGTCAGGAGTTACAGCTCATAGCCACTTCCTGGGGTAAGCCTGAGGAAGTCTCTGTTTCCTGGACTAGTAAATCTCACTAGTGGAAAACTAGGCAAACACATATTTAAGAAGTGGAGTCCATCCAGACTTCTCCTTTTACTTCTTTTTTTTTTAATTTATTTATTTTTATGTGCACTTGTGTTTTGGTGCCCATATGTCTGTGTGAAGGTGTCAGATCCCCTGGAACTGGTGTGACAGACAGTTGTGATCCACCATGTGGGCGCTGGGCCTTGAACCCGGGTCCTCTGGAAGAGCAGCCAGTGCTCTTCATCTCTAAACCATTTCCTGATGCCTTCTTCACAAACAGCAAGCACAACATGTTTTATTTCTGGCTACTCCTCAAATACCTGTGAGTAGGGGGCATTTAACACCAGAGAGGGTCAGGGAGGTCTAACGCCTGAAGGTCTAATGATTGCTCTCTGCCCACCATCACCACGGTTTTTAATCCAGCATCAAGGATTTGAATCTAACCTCATCTCTTCAACCCAAAGTGGCCTCAGCAGTTCTCAGCCGTGACTTTGTCAAGTTCCTTGCTGTGTCAGAGCTTCAGTTTCTCTTCTGTATTATAAACAGAAACAAAACATGGCGATGTTAGCGTTAGTGCTTACTGCAGAGGGTAGTTGTCGGTGAGTGAAGGCATCAGGACAGTGTTGGGTTCTTTGATTGGCAGCCATTAACACAAACCCTCCAGTTAGGCCCCCAGCGAGGCACTGTCTTTCCAGCTTTCACTTTGCCTTTCTTCCTGCCTACAATGTTCTTCCTCCCCTCTAGCTAGAACATCCAAATAGAGCTACGCTGTCCAAAAGAGATGTGGCACAGCCCTCTATGAAGTTTATGTTTTAACTGTGGCATCATGGAGGTAAAAAGAGACAAAATTTTAAAAAAAAAATTTAAGATGTATTTATTTTATTATTTTATGTGTATGAATGTTTTGCCCACATGCACGTGTGTGTACCATTTGGGTGCCTGACATCCCCTGGGACTGGAATTACATACAGGTGGTTTTGCGCTGTGACCTGGACATGGGATTCGAACCCAGGCCATTTGCAAGAACAAGTGCTCTTAACTACCAAACCAACTCTGCAGCCCATGTAAAATGAATTTTAATAAAAACATTTTAATTTGTTATATCCAAAATATTATCATTTCAATATGAAGATAAAATAAATGTTATATTTACAAAAGAGACAATTTTCATGTTTTTAAAAAAGGCTGTGTGCATTTTGTACTTAAAGTACATCTTAATTCACGCTGGCTGTTTCAAGGGCTCACTGACCCCATGGGTTAGCAGTAAGCAAGCAACTATGTGTTCTTAACTCCAGAAGTAAATAAATTCTATCAGTAATGGCTGGCACATATTTATAGCATGATGCCAGAGAGGATGCTAAGGTGTATTTCATGCCATCCTCATGGCAGTACCCTTATCTAGGTCACTGTATTATTCACATTTTACAGATGGGAAAACTGAGACATACATATATTAAGGATCAGCTAGTAAGCAGCAGAGCTCTGATGGGAACTTGGTTCTATCAAACTCCAGAGATTATGCTGGCTTTGTGCGTGCTGTTTCATTGATTAAAAGTCTAAATGAAGACCAGCCTTCTCAGCAAGGCCCTCAGAAGGACATGTGAAGGTTCAGCACATTGACACAGATGTAGTTTATAAAGACTGTGAATGTCTGTGAGTGTAGTCATCACGGGTGCTCCCACGGTAATTCATGCCGTCAGTCACCCTATAAAACTTGTACTTGTTTACTCGTGAACAGATTGCAAAGAGATGGAATCTCTGCTCTCCTGACCTCTAGGGATGAGACTGCCAAGGGGGAGGCTTGTTTAGGGAACATCTGGAAAATGAAATTCTTGCCAATGAACTCTCCCATGTGGGGTCTTTTCATCCTGGTCAAGGCCAAGCAGGCAGAAGTAGATGGTCTCTAAGCAGTGCTTATAGCTGGCCCTAAAGATGATCTACTTGTTTTTACTGGCAGATGCTTACAGTTGGTGACGTTATGGTCTGAAAGCAGGACCACTTTCAGATAGGAAATGTTAACTCACTTTTATGAGCACTGCTCTCAGTGTGAAAATGGTGTTAGCTCCCGGTGGCCAGCTAGCCTCTTTTCCCTGTGGTATTTCTGAATTGTCGCTTTTCTTATTTTTAATCATTAAAGGCCAGATTTTGACAAGAGCTGGACCATAATCCAAGAGCGGCTGCAGATGGACTCCATGGTTATCAAAGGCCTTGATCCAGACACCAACTACCGGTTTGCTGTGAGAGCCATGAATGCCTATGGCTTCAGCCCACGCAGCCGGCCCAGCAACACCATCCGAACCCTGGGTGAGTGCTGTACCTGTCCTGAGGAACATGAGTAGCCATGCCGCTGTGGTTGCCTCTCAGAGCCTCACTTGACTGGGGCTCCTTAGTACCCAACAGACGAACAGCCTGGGATGGGGCTCTCCTCAGGCTTCCTCCTGCAGTTTTCCCAGACCTTTGAAGGTTCGACTCTCCACAGGGACACAGACTATTTCTGTTCCTAGGCAGTCATGGAAGGTTTATTTTTGCATCGTCCTTGGGGAGTTTCTGGTCAGTTTTTGTTCACAGTCACGGACTAGATCACATAGCAAATGAGATGTGCGGTTCCCCCCTGCCTCTCATCTTTTGAGAAGGTGAGCTCATCTTGGAACCCTGGGGGGTAAAACTAAGACCTCACCCCCAGACTCTTCGGGTTAGTGATTGCCTGCCAAATCAAGGACTTTCAGTTGAGTGTGGCGGACCCCTGCAATCTCATCTCTTGGGAGGCTGAAGCAGGAGGATCAGGGTTCATTCAAAGCCAGCCCAGGCTACTTACAAAGAGCCTGTCATAAAAACAAACAAACATAAACAAAACACAAGGACCTTCAAGTCACATTAGTCCCTCTAAGTGGTGGTCAACAAGTCTCAAAACAGATGTTGGCATGCTAACACATAACTTCAGGGAGTAGTTGACTTTGTAAGTTCTCATGGTACCTCCTGGGATCTGGAGGAAGCTTGGAGCAATGCTGAGCAAATAAACGGAGGATTTTCTTCAAAGTCAGATCATGTCTCTGGTCTGGGGTTCAGCAAGCTGTCACATGATGTCAAAAGCTGTACTTCCATTAGAAGGGTTCCAGGAAGCTTGCCAAGCCTGGCCCAGGCCAGCATCAAAGTCTTTTGTGCTTTGGAAGTGGGGTCACATTTACATAAACCTAGAACCATGGGTAGTGAGGTCTCAGAAGGGAGATACAAGCATATTTTTCTTTGAAAGCTCTGTGTCTTTGCAGTGCAGCCTGTGAATTCTTCCAGAAGAGCCCTGCAGCTGCTGCAGGCCCTGTTTACCCAAGAGGGGGGCTCTAAAAGGGAAGCCTACCCTGGGTAGCTGGTTTCCCATTGGCTTGCACAAAGCCCTATTCTTGTTGTTAGGATCTGAATAAGTTTTCCCTGCCCCCTCTCCTCATAAAACATCCACATAGCTGCCTTCCAAGGCTAATGCTAGTTCCGGGAAGAGATCCAATAGGGTCCACAAGTCCTGGGGATTCGTGTTCTTCTAAACAGAGTGTTTATCCTGCAACCTCCGATGCTGGGTTTCCATTCTTCAAGTTGAATTGTTGGAGTGTGCAGGGAGGCCTCACCCTTAAATCTACCCCCTATCTTCCTATTTCCCAATCACACAACAACTACAGGGGGGTAGTAATTGTTTCCCCCTCCTCAGAATGGAGAAGCTACCCAAGCAGGCTCTTAAAATGAAGGCACTTCTTTCCACAAGCCATGCTAGCCACTTTACTTCAAGGGCAGGCCTCCTTCCATTCTTGCTCAATCTTTTGTCTTCTGTCATCCTCAATGAGCCAAAGTACAGGTAACGGGAGCTAGGGGATCACTGTACTTCCAAGTACATAGGCTGTCTTTGTGTGTGCACCCTGGCACTTGGTATGTAAGCTCCCTGTGCTTAGCACGAGGCTCTTCTGCTCCATCTGTCCATCTGTGCTCAGTGTCCCCTACTCCACAGAGTGAAGAAAAAAGAGACATGGTGTGTGTGGCTCAGGCTGACCTTGACCTTGGATGTGGGAGTGGACAGATAGCTTAAGGAACAGATAGGTGAGTGGGTAGGGCACCCCTTGAGGATTTTCTTTCCTTAAATGAATTACTGATGCGGTCTTTGAGATTCTGATCGTTTTTGCCTCCATTTCTTGATCCTATTTTGAATGGAAAAGGTGAGAAATGCAAACAAAGAAAAAAAGGTGGGAGGTGCAAAAATACTTTACACATATGAAACATTACAGTCTATTTTTGACTTTCAGGGAAAGTAAAATTTTATAATTTCATAGTAATTGTGTGTGAAGAAGGATGACAAAACCAAGCCAACCAACCAACCAACCAACCAAACAAACAATAAAACAAAAAATCCCAAACCTCAGTGAAGTTTTCTTTATGAGAGTTTTTGTTGTTATTTGGGATGTTTGTTTTGGTTTGGTTTTGAGACCTGATTTCAAATAGTTTGGGCTAGCCTCCAGTTCCCTAGGTAGCTAAGGATGACGTGGAACTTGGGGTCCCCTTCCTGAGTTGCAGGCGTATCCTACCGTGCCCAGTTTATGCCCAGCTGGATATTAAACCCAGGGCTTCATTCACACAAAGCAAGTGGTGTAGCAACTGAGGGTTGTTCCCAGCCCATTATTTTTAACAAATATTCTTAAATAATTAGAAATCTGCTTCTGCATATGTATGATTGCTCAAATTAGGATCACAGGAGTAGACGTCGTTAGATGAGCTGTCGCACGGAAGTCTAAGAATGTGCTGTAAGTGATGCTTCGGTTGTTTGTCTCGTGGCTGCACTAATGTCCTAGAAAACCCTCTCTTCTTGTACATTTTTGGTCTTAATTTGGTATTGGTTTTAAACTATATTGCTTCCAAACGCATTTTTTTTTCCCATACGAAAGCCACATACTTACCAGCTGGCATTAGCTGAGTCTTAATGAATTTGAAGTATTAAGACTGGCACTGGAAAGCCTGCTGCGAGCCAAGTCTTGTGCTGCCCACTTGACTTGTGTGAAATCCACTCTTTCCTCCCGGAAACCCACCCACTTCTTATAGATGGAGGAAAACAGCATCTCGAAAGACTGCACGTTTTCTCAAGACTGATAACTAGGAAGGCAGGATTCGAAGTTGGGTTTGCTGACTGCTGCTTCATTGAGTCCGATTCAAATGAATGGAGTCTTTTTGTCAGCACAGGAGGGTTAAGGTCAATGATTCAATGCAGTGGGGGTCTGTGTAGAATCTGAGGGCTAGGGAGGTGCTGGGAGCGCAGAATCCAGCTTCCAACATTGGTGTTTCTTTCCTTTTTTCCTTTCTTTATAAAACAGAAATGTTTCTTTATTGCAAATCTCTTTCTCTGTACCCCTTGTAGTCATATTTACAGTCTGTGTTCCAGTTCCAATACCTGATAGTCACTTCTCTGTTCATCACGCATCTCTTGTCTTCCAGTTTCTTATCTTGAGAATGTCGTATAAGTACAGTTGTACAGTGTAGAATTGGGATGTCTTAGCTGCTCTTGGGTCTGGCAGACAGTGATGGGAGGCTAGGGCCCCGCCTCTGCTCAGCCAAAGTGAAGCCAGCATGGTTTGGGTGGTACCTTAACAGACATATGCCTCATCGGCCTCAGCCTCGTTCCAACACAAAATGGAATGGGAAGAAAAAAAAATAATTACAACTCTAAGTATCTTGAGAAATAGGGTTCTTTTGGTCACTCTAAATGACAACACACTATCCTGCATTTACCTCAGGCCTCTCACAGGAGGCTCCTCACAATTCACTTCCCATGTTGTTTCCATGAGAAAATGGGAAATTAAAACATAAATTAATAAATAAAAATTTAAAAAACTAAAATCCTCTTCTCTGACTTCTTATCCCCATCCTGCTATATTTTTTTTAATCCCAGAAGGGAAACACCAACAGCATTATAATTTACGTTTGATCTCGTAAATGACTAGTTGATGTGACAAGCTGGGGGTCTTGTAGGATGTGCACCCAACCCATCTGTTGGTGACTAACCCACTAAGCTCCATTCTTAGCTCAGCCAGGAAGCATGGGGCAGGAAAGAAAGGACATGAAGGTAAACAGGGCAGAAATAAAGTGCATGTATTCATTATTTTCTTCATAGACAAGATTTAAGTAAAACTAATACATGTATAATCAATCCCGAGGTTATGCAACTTCCCCTGAGGAATGGACTATGACCTTCCCACCCCAAATCATTTAATCTCTAATGTTCCATCCTTGTAGGACAGTCACAGAGAGAATCAATAAATTCTTTACTGAAGAAGATCTGGGGTCCTCAGGGCAGTCCCCCATAGATGTATTCTTTTTACTCCCGCCAATAGTCATGTTCTTCCCACTGCCTCAGGCCTTTGGGACCTGCTGTTTCCTCTGCGTGGATCTTTCTGTGGCTGTGGCAGCTTTCTCTATTCTGCTTTTAGGCTTCTGTTGTCCCCATGCCCCTGCCTCATTTCCTCTCTAGCAATGTCACGGTCTGGAACTATTGTATACATTTCATTATGTGTTTCTCCCCTGACAATAAGCTCCTTGTTGGGGCTGGAGAGCCTCAGTTGATGCTGACTCCCCACTCTACCCCCTCTCCACCATGTCAGCACTCAACAAATGCTATTGAGCTCATGTGTGAGTGTGGCTTACCCAGCCAAGAGGCTGTTTTGGAGGTTGAACTGTACAGCTGATGTCAAAGCAGGGGCAGGCAAGGGTGATCTAGAAAACCACACAGGTCCAAAGTGGGCCACCCAATGGCAAAGTCCTGAGGCAAAAACATTGAAACCTCTAGAACTGCAGTATAACATAAATAAGGAAAAAGTAAAGAGGATAAAAGAAGGGAGGAGAGAGGGAATGGATGGTGAAAGCAGCCCCAGTAAATTTAAATTCGAGGCACTAGGGATGGAAAAGAAGCCTTGCTGATGGGACGGGAGGAGGAATATTTATATCCCATTCCAAACCAAGCCCTCAATTCTCCCCTCTGCTCTTCCTTAACCATCAGAACAAGCTCTAATGTTTCTCTATCACCTTTGCTTCTGGTCCTAACAAGTCTCACCGTGGTCTCAGATCTTCAAAGACTTTGTAGAAATGCTTTGTTTGGGTTTTTGCCATCTCCCCAACCCAAGCTTTTCTACAGTTTTAGACCTTCCTCTTCCAATGATCTGAGACAGAGCCACATGGTTCCAATTAGTCAGATTTCTACAGCAAGGGCTTCCCACATCCTGCCCATCCTTCCCGGTGTCTGGTGATGTCTGTTTCTATCTTTGATGGCTCAGTGTGTGTGTGTG